TCTGCCAGGCGAGGCGTGGTCTTCTTCCTCTCTCTTGTTTCTTGGCTTGTTTTCCCGGTTCTCCAACAACCGCCTCCTGCAAAAGCCTCCGGGTGCGTGTACAGGAACATTCTTCTTTAAAAAAAAAAAGAGAAAGAGAGATGCAGCCACAGTTTGGGTAAAAAAGCAACCAACTCCTTAATCCTTCCCTGTAACCTCTGGCTCCTCAGCTGGGAAGGAAGGCCCCGCTGGGCAGAGGCTGACGCTTGTCCCCCACCCCCTCCTCACCCCCTCCTCACCCGTGTCAGCTCTCCTTCAGGGTTTGGCCTGACTTCTGGAGCCCCGAGGAGACAGGCTGCAGGGTTCAGCAGGGCTGGGAAAGCATGGGGGGCGCTGAAGGGATTGGCTGGGTCTCTGCCCCTCTGCCCACTTGGCCGCCTTCTCAGGAGGTTACAAGATGAGGATTTTTCACCCCTCACCCATTGCCTCTACGCCCGTTTTCATTCCTTTCTTCTTCTGTTCCAGGAATCACTGGCCTCTTGACGGCAAGGAGCCTGAATGCCATCTCCCACCGCAGTGCTTCATTGTCCAGCACCGGGCTTGGCTCTTCCTGCGGGGCTCACGCTTCCACACTCCGAGCCTTTGTCCAGCCGGACCCCACCGTCCCACTGTCAGGTGGCACTCGGTGTCCCTGCCACGTCTTGCTCTGCCCACCGAGCCCTTAATTATCTGTTGCAGCCCCAGCACCTGGGTCAGTGCTTGAAACGTAGTAGGTACATAGTGTCTCTGGAATGAATGGATTCAAACCAGAAATAGGTCTCTAGAAACATTCAGAGTGAGCTCGCGAGAGGGACATTGGATTATGGTGCATCCCAGTTAAAGCCCAACACTGCCTCCCTGGCTCCCTGAGAATCCAGTCCGATTCTCTATTGCCACCTCTTCCCACTTGCCGCTCTCATCAGAGGATTTCCTTTCTCCCCAAAGTGCCATCTTTTCTCTTGCCTCTGGGCCTTTGCATGTGAAATTCCCTCTGCTTTCCACACCCTTCTCCACCTCTCACCTGGATGACTCCCTCTGGCCTGTCACCCTGTCAGATTACCCAACCAGCAGAGCGACCACGTGTTTAGGGCACCAGCAAAGCAGGGACACTAAAAAAAAAATATATATATATACAATTTTTTAAAATATTATTTTATTTATTTATTTATTAGAGAAAGAGTATGAGGAGGGGAAGGGGCAGGGGGACAAGCAGACTCTCCGCTGAGCAGGGAGCCCTGCCCCTGCTATGTGGGGCTCCATCCCAGGACCCTGAGGTCATGACCTGAGCCAAAGGCAGATGTTTAACCGACTGAGCCACCCAGGTGCCCCAAAATATTATTTTAAAAAACTAATTTGAGGGGCACCTGGGTGGCTCAGAGGGTTAAGCGCCTGCCTTCGGCTCAGGTCACGATCTCCAGGTCCTGGGATCGAGCCCCATGTCAGGCTCCCAGCTCAGCAGGGAGTCTGCTTCTCCCTCTCCCTCTGCCTCTCCCCCTGCTTGTGTTCTCTCTGTCTCTGTCTCTCTCTCAAATGAATAAATAAAATCTTTAAAATAAAATAAAAAACTAATTTGATGTTTGATAATTTAAAAAAACATTGAAATAGTACTCATGAGAAAAATTAGAACTTTATTGGGGTTCCTCTTATTTTAGAGTTAGCATTGTTTTTGTGTTGAATTCATACATGGGCTGGAGTGGCAGTAGGTGACATCATCTGGCTCTGCTCTTTGAGGCTCAGCCTAGACATCAGCTATCCCCCCAAGGAAGACTTCACTGACCCCTTGACAGGGTTAGGTCTCTTTTTGGTAGTCTCAAAGGTCTTCTGGAATTTTCTTAATATGGATATTTTTGCCTTACTTGTTGCTTTCTATCCCCCCACACCAAGTATGGAAGCATCTTCAGGGCCCAGTTAGTATCTTTCCACCTCTATACCTGCAGCATATACATACAGGTCCTGGCATAGAACTGACCCCAGCTATGTTATTCTCTAGCTTTTATCCAGTCCCCTTTGCAGGGTCTGCACTATACGTCATATTCTTTTTTTTTTTTTTAAGATTTTATTTATTTATTTGACAGAGAGAGTGCACAAGCAGGGGGAGTGGCAGGCGGAGGGACAGGGAGAAGCAGGCTCCCTGCTGAGCAAGGAGCCCAATACAGGGCTCCATCCCAGGACCCTGGGATCATGACCTGAGCTGAAGGCAGACGCTTAACGACTGAGCCACCCAGGCGCCTCCTACATGTCATAGTCTATGTTCATATTTTATAACCCTATCTGAGAAACTCATACTCACCCTTCAAGGCCCCACTCAAATGACCCATCCTCTATGAACCTGCCCAGTCCCTCAGTTGCATCAGGTTGAGTGTAAGCTTTTGTGAGCTCACAGCTCCTGCTGCAATTGGTGTCTCCCTCTTTTATTGTAATTTTTATGTATGTAGGGGCGCCTGGGTGGCTCAGTCGGTAAAGCGTCTGCCTTCGGCTCAGGTTGTGATCCCAGGGTCCTGGGATCGAGCCCTGCATCTGCTCCCTGCTCAGCGAGGAGCCTGCTTCTCCCTCTCCCTCTGCCACTCCCCCTGCTTGTGCTCTCTCTCTCTCTCAAATAAATAAATTTTTAAAAACCTTAAAATTTTTTTTATGTATGTATTTCCTCCCTCACCAGATTGGGAGCTGCTGAAAAACAGAGACTCAGTGGATGTAGTGCCCTGCATTGGCCTGGCCAGAGGAGAGAGCAGTATATGCTCTTTAAATGAACAGCCTGGAAGATGTCACAAAGGAGGGAAAATTCAGGCAAGATTTTGAATGTGGGAGAAGAATAACATGTACTCACTGGGGGCATAGAGTCAGTGCACATAAAAACAAATCACAGCAACAATACTCCTGACAACTAGTACTGAGCACGCTGTAGTGTGGTGGGTAAGAACGGAGATGAAGCTCTGACTCTTACTGGTTGTGTGACCTTGGACAAGGTATATCATCTCTCTGTGCCTCAGTTTCCTCATCTGTCAAAAGGGGAGAGTAAAGGTACCCACCTTACCGAGAATTCAATGGGCTAATATCTGCAAGGTGCTGAGAGCTATGTTGGGCACGCACGGGCGCTTGTGTTTGCTCCATCGCCAAGCACCTTGGGTGTGCCAGGCACTTCCATCTGGCACCCCACTTAGCCCTCACAGCAGCCTGAGAGGCAGGGCTGTTGTGTCCTTTTACCAAGAAATGAGGTGTGTGGGGGCCAAAGGTTCTTGCTAATGCCATTCACTGGATAGGGGACAGGAATGGGATTTGAACCCACGTCTCTCTGGCCTGCCGCCCACCCATGTTCCTTGACTGTGGCACCTGCCTGCAGGATGAGGGGGAGGAAGAGAAGATGCCCCAGTGGGAAGGCAGGGAGGCTTTCCGGAGATGGGGCCTCCGGAGCAGAGCGGCAGGCGTTTTTCTAGAGCTTTCATTTCTGTCTCCCTCTTCTGAGCAGGTGAAAAACCCCATAGGGCCCTTCACGGAGTGCTCCCCCTTGTCCTCCCCCTCCTGATGCTGCCTCATCCCCCCACGCTGGGAGGGGGGAGGTCAGGCATGCAGCGTGGGAGATGCAGGGGAGGGGAGTGAGGAGGTAGGGGAGCATCATTCCAGATCCTTTCCCTCCGGCACCCCCCTTTCCCCATCACAGGCGCTCCGGGAGGAGAGAGCATTCCAGGTGGAAGGAATGGCAAATGCAAAGGCTGTGGATTAAGGATGTGGAGGCGGGGAAAGCCTGCGAGCTTGGCTGGAACTGAGGTTCAGGGCCCCCTGGGATTGCTCAGTGGAGAAGAACTTGTTTGACGAGAGGGAGGGAGAGAGAGAGAGCGAGAGAGAGCGCGCGCGCGCGCGCGAGAGAGAGAGAGAGAGAGAGAGAGAGAGAGAGAGAGAGAAAGAGAGAGAGAGAGAGATACGCAGTGGACCCAGCAAGAGCTGAGGATGCTAGAGGTAGGGTAGTGGCTGCAGACTATTCTGGGCTCTGAACACAGTGGTCTCCATCCTCTTCCCCTCAACCAGGGCTGGTGAAGAGGGGTCACTGTGATTCTTCATGGTCCCTGTGCTTTGTTTCTTCCCCTAGAATCCCTTAACACACTGGGCTCTGCCAGCTCTGTACCGGGAATTGGTTCATGGCTTTTTATGCATTCCCTCAATGTGTTTTTCTCCCCAGCTCAAGATCAGTATTATTCACTCCATTTTATAGAGGAGAAAACTGAGGCTCAGCCAGGTTTTATAACTTGCTTAAGGTCACACAGAGGGTAACAGGCAGATCCTGGACTCAAACCCAAGACTTTTTCTGCAGATGGCAATTTTGCCGGCTATACTGGTTCAGGCTGCTTTCCCCAGGGTGTTTGCCATCCCCATGGCAACAATGAGAGGCCCTCCTGTGCTGACAGCACTTCATAGTTTATGCAGGCCTTATTTTTTCTGCTCCTCACAACAGCCCTGTAGGCAGAGCTGCTATCATCCCTATTTCATAGATAAGGAAACTGAGGCTCAGACGGGGGGTGTGACTTGGCCAAGACCGTTGGGACTCAAACCCAGTTCTGGTGACTCTAAATGTCTTTTTGCTTTCCCTTGCAGAGAAAGAGGGTCTGTTCCCTGCTCTAATCTGCCCCTTAGGGCAGGGAACAAACAGGCAAGGGTTACTTTTCAGAATTGGTGGGAAAGAGACGGGTTTGGTCTTCAGAGCCTGGGACTCGGCTACTGGCAGTGGATAATTTCATCCCACCAGGTGATAACTCTGACTGCTTGGGTAGAAGAGGGAGGGCTTACCCTCAAGAGCATTAAGTCCACTCGTGTTCAGAGGCTGGGTTCGAATTCCAGCTGTGCTGCTTGCTGACTGGGTGGC